GGAGGCTGGGAGGGGGTTTCCGGGGTGGGGTTCGTCGCGTAGCGACGGGGCGTCAGAAATAATAGAGTCCCGGTCGTTATCCGATGTATCGTTGCTGTTCTCGTCATAGAGCGATGGGTCATGGGAGTGGACAGAGTCGCGATCCTCAGATGATGATGTCGAGGACATGGTACTTTCTAGCAGTAAAACCGCGCAAGCAGAGGGGGGCTTTTATATTGTAGCAGATTCAGACGAAGATTAAAAGGATGGGATAGTGTTTCCATGAGAATCTGCGAGAAAAGTTTTCCGTTGATATCTCTGTTGGCGTATTTCTATTGTGTGTAGTGTGCACTGGTGTACTACAATTTTGTTAGTAACTGAAGAAACATGTGTTAATTGGCGGTTCAGTGGTAGAATGCTCGCCTGCCACGCGGGCGGCCCGGGTTCGATTCCCGGCCGATGCACCATGTTTTGAACTGCATCACGGTTCAAATGAGGTTTTGGTGGTTCAAGTGGTAGGTTACATGTTTATTGGTAACACATAGCACATACAGCATGACTACAATCATTAAACTACAAGCATAAACATATGAGGCTAAACTACTGGCATATTCGTGTCAAATGCGAGTCAAATTGTGTCTTGTGCTCTTCTTCAGGCGATAGCAGCGAAGCTGCAAGGAGAAACTGTGAGAACTGCGAAGAGAAAAGGAACTGACTGCGAAGAAGGAACTGACCGAACTGCCTGGCGGCACTCAGCGCGCTACCTTTATAGCCCTGATTATGGGCGGTATAAATACTGGCTGAGGTGGGCGGTGCCAAGGCCTCCTATTGGTTGGTTGTAGGCGGTGAGCGAGCTTTCTAGAAAGTGTGCATTTGCGACCCGTGCATCCTAGTCATCATGACCAAGGGTCATGACAACCCGAGTCAGCCGCGCATTCTCAGTCAACTCATGGGGGATCCATCGTGCCAGCACTTTCCTGTACCCGAGAGCGTACAAACAAACAAACACATCGTAGGAGGATAGATCTACTCCTGATCTACTTGGCGCGTCAGGCGAAAGATCTCACATTGTAGTAGTAGCTTCATGTTGGTAGTTAGCTGAGCCATCTGCGCGTTAAGGACGGCGAGGTCTTCATGTATCACCGTTAGTTGGTGGGCCAAGTAGGCCCGGTTGCGCTGTAACATATGAACTGTAGCATGTTGTTCATTGGTCATTTGCTGGAGGGTGCGCAACAGCGTCTGATTTTGTTCAATTAGATCAGGGAGAGAAGTACGCGGAATAGAATAGAATACTAGGAGGAATCCGGGGTCGTCGAACGACAGTGTTTACAGGGTTGGCCATAAATATAGCGACAAGGTTTTCACCTTATATCTCAGAAAGCAAAAGTGCAAACGAGTCATGAACATAACATTTATTAAGTAACAACTGGTACATTAACAATCATAAGTTACTTCTCGATTCGGCCACCTTTGGCACGGACGACAGCGCGGAGTCGCTTGGGAAAGGCGTCGATGACCGGACGCAGGAGTGCGTCGTCGATTTCGTCCCATTCTCGGATGAGCGCTGCCTTCAGAGAATCCAAATTGGGGTGGGGAGTGGCGCAGGCCTTCGCTCTCAAGGTAGGACCACAAGTTATAGTCCAGTGGGTTCAAATCCGGGGTGACGGAGTGCCAGCCATTGTCTGCAGGATGACATGTCGGAGAGTCTTGCACCACCTTCGGACGAGCTGGCTTGTGGGCGTGCGCGAATATTGTGGAATTGTCACGGGGCGGCACGTTGAAGTGGGGATTTCGCCCACCCGGGAGTAGAAGCATTTCCAGTAATGTCTTGAGGTAGTATCTTTTGTCGAGTTTTGACGCGTGGTCGGACGAAAATCAACGGCGTCTTACCCGAGGCACACCCCTGCCCAACGATTGGACAGGGTTGTGCGGCCGTGAACGGACTTCCCTTCTTGTCGGCTCCTCGGCATTCCTTGCGATCACTCTGACGTTCTGAGCGTTGAACTGCTGCTCGACGGTGAAGAGCTTCTCATCCGAAAAGACGATCGAATGGTGGCCCTTTGTTGCGCGTAGCAAAGAAGTCAAAAGCTGTCGGACTTCTTGACTCGAGCCATGTGATGTCGAGGCGGTTGAGGCATAGCAGCTTCCGAGTACGGTGGGGGTACATCTTAAGGTCTTCGTGGACGACCCTTTCCATTGACTTCCGCGAGATTCCCATGTCGCGAGCCATCGTCGAGATGCTCCGAGCGCGTTTCTCTATCCGCTTTCTGACGGCCTCGACGACCTTCGGCGTGCGAGCAGTACGAGGTCTTCCACTTCTTCGGCGGTCTTGGAGTCCACCAAGGTCTCGATAACGTTGGAGTGTGCGATACACGACGCTGCGGTGGATGCCGAGGTGCTTAGCGATCGTGGCGGGTGGGCGGCCGGCTTTGTGCAGACGAACGATAGCGGAACGATCAGGAGAAGGCTTCACCATTTCACTATGAATGGACCAAATTTAACCAAATTTTAACAGGAGTTAGAAAAAATGATGAGATTGAAAAATCCATAAAACTGGCGCGCTATGTGCGCTATAGAATGTACGCTAACCGCAGTAAGTCTTGTCGCTATAATTATGGCCATCCCTGTAAGTGGTAGTAGGTCGTGCACAGTTGAAAGCGTATTGTTTTACGGTTGTATATGTGGGGAGACAGTTGTCTGTAGGACCGAACGCGAAACCTATCGCGTGTGTGGATCATAATTTTCAGTTTGACGAGACTTGATTGATGCCGTATAGTATTTGGACTAAATAGTAAAATCGCAAGATTATATCCCAATTTCTCCATTTACGTAGTGACTATACAATTAAGTATTATATTTTCAGAAAGATTGATTGACCGATTTATTGTGTTCAGTTATGAAATGTCCGTTTTTGAGAGTCATTCGTTTATCATTATCTATACACTCCAATTACATAATCAAAATATGATCCTAAGTTATCAACACATCTTTGCCATTTTAAAGGTAACTTATTAATTCCATCTCTATAGAAATCTGGGGAGCGAGAGGCAATAAAATCATGAAAGGCACTTTCTACATCATCATAAGAATTGAATAATTTTCCCTGCAAGAAGTGATCTAAAGCTTGAAAGAAATGGTAATCTGTAGGTGCTAGGTCGGGAGCAGTAAGGAGGATGAACGAGTTTCCTAAGTACAAAGTCCGTGTAATTGTTAACAAGGGGCGAGTTTTGCCACATAGTGGGCCGAGCGTCTGTCGTGCAGGGGGAGCGAGTCGTCGTCTATTAATTCATTCTCGGCGGATAACAGCAGCTTCTCCATCATTTCTTCCAGTCTTGTACAGTTCAATACGCCTCCGCCTTGATCGTGACCAGGTCTCGTAAAGCTGTAGTGAATCACTCCTGCGGAGGACCACCAAACTGATACCATAGTCTTCCTCTGGTGAGGGTCCGGCTTCGGCGTAGGTTTTGGCGGTTCCGACTTGTCCAACCACTGGTAAGACCGCTTCCTGTTATCGAAATGGATCCACTTCTCGTCACATGTGACGAGACGGTGTAAGAAAGGCTCGCTTTTTTGCCTAGAAAGTAAGGAAAGGCAAGCCTCAAGGCGGACCCTCTTCTGACGATCGCTCAAGTCGTGCGGTACCACACGTCAGCTTACTAAGCTTTGCAGAATTTGCTTCAAATGAGACGAGATGTCACCTTACATACTCCAAACTTTGCCGCTAATTCTCGAGTACTTTGAGTGGGATCAGCTTCCACTACGGCTTTAAGCTCATCGTTGTTCAGCTTGCACTCGGGCCGTCCTCTCGACTCATTTTGAAGATCGAAGTCGCCGGATTCAAACTTTGCAAAAACCAATCGAAGCTACGTTCGTTCGTTAGGGCTCCTCTCCAAAGTAAGCGACGGTAATTCGAACTGCCTGTGCGTGCAGGTGCTTATCCAGGCTGGAAACTAGTTACTCAAAGACAACACGCAATTTGGCTTGTCCATGTTGTGCGTTACAAAGAACACACTTTAAAAAAGTCGATTCCACGCAGCCGGGAGGTCCGACCGAAGGGTAAGGAAAGAGGGCAGGCGTCACCAAGTGTAACTATATAAAACCTGTCACCTTTAACCAAAACTCAGTACCAAGGACTGCCGGAGCGTTTTGCCTTAGATACGGACTCTCGAACTATGCACTTCTGAAAAACGGACATTTCATACTGAACGACCTGATAGTACTTAGACACATATTGAAGATCAATAAGAACATAGTTTCAATTTCTCTTATTACGTAATATGTATATGGTATATGTATATGTATATGTAGGCAGTTCGTAGTTCTTAAAATGGCCGATGCACCATGTTTGAGCTGCATCATGACCCAATGAGGTTGCTAGTTGGTTTGGATTCCAGGGAAAGGAGGTTCAGAAATGCGACAAACAGTTGTAACTTCTAATCTTTATCTACACAAATAATAATACGACACAGATACAATAACTATGACTTTAAAGAGAACATGACATAGCGGTACCGAGCCTTGCTGTATGTGAGCCGTTTGTGCGTAGTGTGTTTGTTTCTCTACGTGACCGGATAGTGTTGGGCGACGCGGAACGTTCGCGTGGCCGGGCTTGTAGGTATTTCGTCGACATGCGGTACCGAGCTTTGTGTCATTGATAGCCGTTGTGTGACGTATGTGTCGTTGTTCTCTACAGTAGTGTTGGGCGACGGAACGTCCGCCGGGCCGGCTTGTAGTATTTCCTCGACATGCGAGGTTAAGTGTAAGTAGTATATATAGTATATATAGTATATAGTAGTATATATTAGTGTTGAGTTAGAGAAGGAGAGAGAGCTTAAGAGAAACCCGCCGCTCGCGGAAGACGAAGTGTCGAACTGAAGCCTCGCTCCTCTCTGGCTGCGGTATTTATGCAGTCAAAAGGGGCGGTAGTATTTGAATATTATACAAAAGCTTTTAGGCGGTACATTTTATTATACCAACATGAATGGAAGAAAGGGAAGGGAACTTGGACGAGCGTAGAGGAGATGGTCAAGTGTGGACCATCACATGGTGAGCACACACTACCTCGGGCAAAGCCCATACAGGGCGGACCCGACAGAACACAAAAAAGAGCTAATGTTGTGCAGAATCATGTCCAGAAGTCAAGTCAACTTTTGCGCTTAAATCGCTCTTTTCAACAAACAGTCTTGTTAGTATTTTGATTTTCCTTCTTTGTTTTTTTTTCTTTTGGTAAGTCATCTCAATGTTTATGTAAATCTTCAGGCAATACTTCAATAGAGATTACGAATACCTATGAATAATTAGTAGTAGTAATACGAATATGTAGTAATGTATAGCATAGTAACAATATGAGTGAAAGAATAGGTTAAATAAGCAGTGATGTCGCGTTCTCACACAGCAGTGTGCATGATGAGGGGCGGAGTGAAAGGATCGATCGACCCACATGCACGCAAAGGCCGGTGCTGGAAACAGTGGCGACGGATCGTGCGGTTACGTGATAAACCGAACTTTCTATTCCAGTCCTGTCGTGAAACACCAACGCGCTGATGGATCAAGGGCGGCGATTGAAAATGGGCTGTAATAGTTTCAGAGCTCTGGAATAAAAGTCAGAACTCTGGAATAAAAGCAATTGATGAGTAAGTCAAATACTGCAATCGAAAGCATTCAACCTCAACATTAACCTATACTGAGCTTGAATTTAATTGTCATGGATCTAATTGGCATGGATGCCCACGCGATATTTTTGAGGTATTTTTGGAAAACAAAAGCACCCTTTTTCACTTTTGTCAGTCCTTGGTTTGAGCTCGATACACCAGGCTATTTCATAAAATCTCATTGATGCGCGTACTCTGCAAAGATTCCAAGTAGTCAAACTACTTCAGAAAACTGCGTAAACAATTTTTTGCACAGAAGCGTTGGTTCACCCCGTAGCTTCTTCCCCTGTGGGCTTAGGCGAAAAAGCTCATCTATTGGCTCTAACTCGTTTCTACGCATTTTTCCGAAAAATACTTTCCAACATTTCAGAAGAAATCGAGGAAGAGGCTTGGATATCAAACTCCTAATACTCCATAGCTTTATAAGACTCAATGGGATTAAGCTTCTTTCAGACTCTTACTCTGATTACATATTAATGTTCATCACCTCACATATACTTCAAATCCAGGAGATGTGGTAGGTACTGCCTACCTCTCTTGAAGCTGGCGGCGGCTGCTCTTTCGGTGAGATATTTTCCTTTGATATGCTTGCGACCATGCCTTTGTAGAAAACAAGGCAAGACGATAGTTGCCTCAAACACTGGTATATCCCGCAATTCGCTCGGCAGCGTAGTAAATTAGGGGGATAGTCGTTTGTTTGCTGGCGGTATATAGCGATACCCGGTGTTCTCGAACAACAGTGGTAGAAGCTCTGCTAATCTGGGCGTACGTCATATCGAACCTGTTTGCCAAGGCTCATAATCACATTGTCAGGGATTTTGATCACAGTTGTAATACGTCTAATTGTCATTTTATGTTACTCTGAAAGTCCTGGAGGACTCCATAACACGAAGCATACATATGATCACCTTAAACCTTTGCGTCGAATCTCATCCAAACAGAACATATCCTCCATCTTTTCAGGCAACTAGTGGAAAAGTGCATATCAACCCATGAGGAAAACTTCAAAATGCGACCCCCTTCTCGAAAGACTAAAATGAGACCCGTTTCGCCCTCGTCGGGGATTTCTCGTTAATAATGTGCCCTGTTTGGAAAGACTTGTGAGATGAAAAACGCTGACCTAGAAAAAAGTATTGTATGTTGTTAGGGTACCATCACGTGGACCTGTAGTCTGAATGGGAGGCGAGTACGCACTGCGCAATAACCGAGCGCCTCTATTCTACGTTTAGCTTAACAAAAGCCCCCAAAACTCCCTTGGAATGAATTGAGATGCGAAGTACGCGTCATGTGTTACTGAGAGAAGCTTAATGAGCAGTATCTGTTCAGTAATGAGCCAAGGGACCCTCAATTTCGTTGAATCTCGAGGTCAACCACAGCCCCGACTGGCGACATTGCGTGCGGTCGCGATGCAGTTGTCTGCACCTCTCCGTTTGCCAGTCTATTTCGTGATGTGTACAGCGCACGGCCACCCACCAGTTCGGGAGGACGGCGGCTGCTGCCATTATTCCCTACAACGAAAGAAAGCGTCTTTGGAATTGATTTATTTAGCTACTTATTTGTTGCTTATCCATTGATAATTTGAAGGGTCTTCAAAATTTTCTCTATTTAACGACTCATAGCTGTTGTTTGAAATATGCGTGACAAATGGAGCAAAGTAAAAGTTTCAAGGTTTAGGGGTGCTTCAGTTTCTAGTGATTCTTAGCTAGACGTTCGATAGTCTTATTCTTCCCCTAACCAGCCATAAAGCCATAAAGCTAATGATTCTCTTCGACAATTATTCCTGTTCCTATGTTCCTAAACACCCAACCGTTTAGTACTTTAGTACAATTTTCTAATTTTTTGCATTGATTGTGCTTCGTTGAGCCTTTTCTTCTTCGTGCCTTTATCGTGTGCTTTTATTGGATAGCGAACGAAAAGAAGAATGGGGCCTGCGACATTGATCAACAGTCCCTTATAGAATGCACCGTGCATTCTACTTCCGTCCAGGATCGTAGTAGCTTTTGAGTTGCTTCACAGTTGTTCTCTTTATTGTTATTTGGCTTAAACAACTCGACTTGGGGGAAGGGGGCGGGGGTGGTTGGGAGCATTCTATTGGGCCATGTCTTTTGTTCGCCTCCAGATCGAGAATGATCTTTGAATGTATGGTCAGCAAGCACATGACTGATCCCTGAAGGTGAAGTGGTTGCCTGGAATCGGTTGATTTCCGGGATCCCAGTGCGGTATCAGAGCCAATTCACCCTCTAACCTAAGCCTTTGCTTGAGAGCCCTGAAGACTGATAAATCAGATAGAGATTCTAAAGTGTTGTCACTTTGGCTCTGCTGTAGCTCCAAATGTAGTTACGAGACAACTGTGAGATCCTCGAGGCGACGGCCATACCACTTCTTATAGAGATAGTGTCAGTTTTTATCTTCAGGGCAACCATCTATGCATTAAAATCGCGAAGTGGCATTTTTTTGGCTGCAGTATGTTTGAATAACTCAGCGCATGCTAAGCTGTTCCGACCCCTGTCAAAACGCATAGGTACTATTTCATGGAAACTTCTTCAAATCTCTAGGCAGCGCGCTCCTTTACAGCTGCTGTCTCGTCTGACACTACGCCTTTCCTCTATCCAAGGTGCCTTCCATATATGGCGCATTAATTCTATAATCTCGCTTCTTTGATGCATTTTTCACCAGCGTACACAGCGCTCTGAGATTCCCCAATGACGTGTAGTTCGGTCCTAGAGAGAGGGCGCGATGACCGTGAAGGGTTGAACCTGTCCTTTGGATGTCCCGGGTTTCACGCTCATTCTAGCCGATCCACAAAATTGGCGCGCGCAATAAAATCGCGATTTCGGATAAGTGAGCCAGAGAGTCTGCTTGCCCTCACATCAAGTTTCAAATTCTGGGGCAACGTTGGTTGGCGAAGATGTGGTAAGTAGGATGGGGAGGCGTATCGACACTGTGGAGCAAATGTTTAGGCCGAATAGTCCGTATTTTGCAGTAAATTTTCTGCATGACCGTAATAGTTTTCCTGGATAGTGGTCAATGGTCCACATCTTCTTCAAACGTTTCGTGCGTCTTGCTCCTCGGCTTCGAGGTCCAGCTTTTCCTCCTGGATGGTAACTGCTTGCTCGAACATATTTACAAAAAGAGTATTCTTCAGTCTTATATCTGAATAGTGCCGATTTTTCGCAGAACATCCTCTTGTAGCAGCATACTGGAAAATCGACTTGTGTATTACTTCAGCTATGCCGAAGGACAAGAAAAAAGACGAGCCGAACATCGTAGCTCGACATGTCCCGACAGAATTTGACCGTCGTGCACACGCATTCCTCGACTGTGTGAGTTTTTTCCTTTTTTTTTCTTAGCGTTCTTGCTGAAATTTGTCATATGACTATTCATTATTATTATTATTATTATTATTATTATTATTATTATTATTATTATTATTATTATTATTATTATTATTATTATTATTATTATTATTATTATTATTTACATTATTATTGAAGATATGTACTTGCATGAATGAGACCATGAAGATGTACGCCCATCTGCAAGTTAAAAAATTTTTAAAGTTGAAAATGACATTATCTCTACACGGCTGACGCTGAAAAAAAGGGTGCACAACAAACTCACCACCATTCCACCGAACATCGCGGATTTGGAAAATCTTCAAGTGAGTTGGAGGAGAAGGTGGTCATATACTTTTGATTAGTGCATTGAAATATCATTCATATAGTTTTGGTTAGTGCATTGAAATATCATATTTCATGTTCCTCCTTCCTCGGGTAGAGTTTTATGAGATACATTGGCTAGGATTAAAGCTCCTCGTCATGGAATACGGATTGCGATCAGGGTACAGCAATCGCTGTGTGAAAGTCACAACATGGGGGGAGGTCGCACTTTTCTTGTCTTGGGATGGTGGAGAGGCGTAATTTTGTGCGTTGCTGCGAGGAGGCAGGGTCCGGTGCATGCCTTTCCTAAGTATTTTGTGATCGGTCATATCAGTAGCGTTCACCTTCGATGGCTCGCTGCGATGCTGGACGAAGTTAGGAGAGCCGGGTTTTGCGCTGCGGCCAGCGCATTTAACCAATTGTGCTTTTGCTGTCGCTTACCCGCTCCAAGAATTGGTAGAGGACGTGCTGCCACCTTGGACGCCCCGGCATCCGCAGCGAACAAGAGTGTATGAGGGCCAACTTCAGCTCCTCAGAAGAATATCATAATACCTGGTACTGCTTGCTTTCGAGATTCGCGCTAACCTCAAATATTCGATCCTATGGATCGTGGAATGGGATTTGGAAACCCCTTCCAGTCCCCACTTCATCGGAATCCCAGTGAAAACTTTGATTCACCGTTGCTTAGATGAAAAGACCGCTCGAAAACCTTATCATTTTGTTATTTTTTTCTTCAAAACTGCAGTCAGTGAAGATGGATTGAATGAACACTGAGTTTTATCTTGCTCAGGTACTCACCTTATGGAATAATATGATCGAAGATCTGCCGTCGTCAATCTCAAGTCTTTCCAAACTTCGTATACTCAATGTGGGGTCAGTTGCGCTCTGAATCACTCAAAGACACATTCCACCATGAACAGAAGGGCGGAGACTCATGACTACTGTGTCTTCCTCATTGGTGCATCCTGATGTAAGCAGTAAATTCAAGGGACAGGAAGTACTAATGGAGAGGATGCAATTTCGGTTGCGAGTACCTGCCCATTCCTCCACCCATCTATTACATTTACCCCAGAATGTGTCTTCAAATTGCTCTTGACTACAGGTAGCTACCTTTCATTCGAACTTAAATTACTTGGAGATTTTGCAGAATGAATCGATTATCTGTTCTGCCACGAGGATTTGGTTCATTCAAATCGCTTGAAATCCTTGACCTCACGTACAACAATCTGAACGAGCGAAGCCTGCCTGGGAACTTCTTCTTCATTGGTGAGACATTATGCTTTGTAACCTCTTTTATCCGGCGAAATCACATCATTCCGATTGTTTTGAGGACCTTGAAAGTCGACTACTACCCAGTTATAATTTCATGGCTAGCTAAGTCAATCCCACATTATTTACAGTCATGATCTTTGAAAAACGATAGGACGCGCGACGTGGCGTGGATTGGAGCGCAGCCAGGGTGACCTTTCTGCACCCATGATGCCCTATTGAAATCGCTATACTTGGTGGAAAAGCTGTATGGCTGCACTCCAAGCCAGTCAGGGAAACCCCTGTCACCCCACCCTATGGTTTGCCGAAATCATGATTGTATTTCTCCTTTGGTGCCCTGCTGTCCTGAGATTTCTTCACCTTTGGGTGTGTGTGCTACAGCTTTACCTGAACGGGTGAGTTGAGCGTACCGAAGGGGCTTAAGCAAGAGGTAGTCATAGGGGTTATCGTCCCACTGGGGTAACCTTGGCAGGACATTCAGGACATTCCTCTCTCCCAAGGACAGCGCCATCTAACCAGGAGCTAGGGCACTTCTTTTATGTTGCTTTTTTACGGCCCTCATTTTTTACCGAACTGAATTTGGGTAGAAGGCGTGCAGCTATCAGTGGAAACATTTCGCAATCCAGTCGTGAACGTGATAACTGGGGATTCTTAGTCAGCTTAAAAGATCAGATGTGTTCAGAGCGAGTACGTATGATTAGCTCAGGAGACACAGTCTACTGTAGCCGTGTGGGGGAGACAGTCAACCATTTGTACCTTCCTCTTTGGAGCAGTCCCTTTGCTTACCGTCCTGAAAGAATACGTCAGTGAGGAAGGCAAAGGGTCCGCCATCTCCATATGACCAGCGTAGATAATGCCAATAAAAGGAGCAGGTCAGGAAACGACCGTAGGTCTTCACTTGACTGGCAGCCCGGAAGTAACCCACATCGACATCCCTAGTCCAGCAACATCTCCACGCCGAATAAGCCTCCAAGCTGGAATCGACACTGAAATTGTCTCTTTCTCCTGCACTCCCCCTCAGGATTTTCACTTGCCTATAAACTTTCCTTTTTCAGATACTCTGAGGGCTTTGTACCTGGGTGATAACGACTTCGAGATGTTACCTGGCGATGTCATGAACCTCCGTAATCTTCAGGTACGTTAGAAATAGCTTTCTACTACATTCCATATCTCGTGGAACCAAGTTAAGTAAAATCTGGTTTGTAGAGTGGGAGTATAGCGTCGCGCACCGTTGAGAGAATCCCATCGGGTCGGGTCCATTCCTCGCTGGTGAGGGACCCTATCTGGCTTTGAGGAATTTCTCTATTTTCTCCCATCTTAGTTGGTGGCGCCGCAGAACTACAACTACTATTTGTGACCCCCCCCTCACCTCCCGCTCTGTGTCAGTTTTTTTTTTGTGGAAAGTTTGAGGAAATTCGGTAGGGACGGTAGGGATTGCTGTATTCGGGAAGATGCTGGGGTAAGATGGGGAAAGGAGGTTGTACTGGAAGAAGAAATTCCTGAGGATCCTATGGTGATCGTACTGACACCTCTATTTCGAACTTCACAACGCCGTAGATTAGTGGGGGAGAGGGTAAAGAGCGTGGGGGTTCGAAAAAATACAGTCTTGTTCGCTGCAGATGCTGAGGCGGGTCAGGGGCAGGGTCCATTCTCCACCAACTTCTTAGCAGGACAAGCGA